GGAACCATTAAAGAAAATTAATACTGCAAAATAAGTAACTTTTTATTATGATCGTATTTCTTAGCTTCCTTTGAAACTCGGAAATAACAAAAGGTAATAATAAGCAAGCTACAAAAAACCCGACTAATTACACCTGAACCAAAAGACTTGATGAACAAAACCAAGAACTAACCGAGAGATGAGTTTCACGACCCCCACTTTCTATACACTTTTTTTCGGAACCACACTTACAAAGAACCAAAAAAACTAACCAGAAGTCTCTCTGGGAGGCGCAGGCACTGCTTCGCCTGAGCTCACACTCTCACCACCACCATCTCCTCCGTCAACTGAACTCGGTTGTTGCAGCCCAATGGGTCCAAACAAGCTCACACCACTCACGTCCCGGCTCCCACTGTATAGACCTCTGCTTCCATGGTGGTTCAAAGGTGTAGAGGTTGTTGCATTGGCTCCGCTTATGAGCAATCGTAGTGTTTCTCTTGCACCTTTCTCGACCAGCGAATCATTCTCCACTGGGAGCGGAGGGATGCCCGTGGATATCATCCCGGTGGGTCCAGTGCTAACCAGATAGCCTTGACCCGAAGAGTAGATATCGATAACTGGAATGTGAACAATAGGGTCGCACATTATAGGAATCATCATCTGTTGCTGGGATGATGATGATGATGAGCCTGGAATGGTTATGTGGTGGACTAATGGTAATGGAGGGATGTCAGAGAGATCGAGCGGTGATGACGGGATCAAGAACCCATCCGATCCTGATGCTGGTAACAAGGAAGAAAGAGGCGGAAGGGAAGGTAGCTCGATGGATAGTGGAGGGAACTGATAAGAAGCAGATGGTGCGTGAAGCGATGAGGTGGTTGGAGGGCACCAGCAATAATAAGGAGAAAAGACTGGTGGACCCATCTTCAAAGGAAATTGGGGAGGTCCGGTCATTGTACTTGGTGTTGACTCCCCTTCTTCGAAAGCAATAATTTGACTGATTCCATTATTATTCTCAGTGGCTTCTTCACCTTCTCCTTCTGACTGGATAAAACCCTCTACATTGGTGGGGATAGAGGTAATGGATAATAAATTATCAAAGATTGAGAAATGGCCTTCACTGCGTCGCTTTGATTTATCTCTAGAGGAGATACGTAGAGAAGAGTTTCTCAGTGTGTTTTCTTTGAAGGAGCTTGCTCTAGGGCTGAGGCTTCCTTGAGTCTTTGTCTGTTGAGTCCCACCGTGGCGTGCTCTAAGAGATTTCGATGATGCACTCGAGGAGGAGGAATCAGCTGTTTCAGAAGAGCCAGAAGATGATGATGAATCAGGAGATGAGACCGGACAACCTTTGATGTTAGGTACCACTGATCCCATAAGATACAAACGGAGATGAGAAGCAACAGAGCCAAGTCGTGATTCTTCAATTCCAGTTAGTTCCGAGATTGATGGCTTCTTCTTGATCAAGTCTTTCATCTACACAGGAAAACAACAGATGATGAGAAAATTCAGATGCACAGACAAGGTTTTTAATACAAGACCATCATCTCTATTTCACAAACCTTCCTACGCAATTCAGTTCCCAGAAGTTTTGACTTCTCTGAGCACCAATAGTAAAAAGCATTGCCATCTGCGATCCTTATAACAAAAGATCTACCAGAGCTGTCCGCAGTTATCTCCTCAATTGACACCGCAGAGCACTGAGATTTGCTGGTATACGTAAAGAGTTGTTCTGAATGACCATTGTCTCCGATAAATGAGAGTCTCAAGTCAGATGTTGGCAAGACCATAAGGCTCAAGTTACCCCTGACCAATGGAAGATAAAACGTCAGGAAATCAGTCAGAAAAATCTCTATATCAATATCAAATGCACTAACAGATAAACGCTAGATGCTGAAAACCAGACAATTAAGTTGGATCAAGTCCAAGAGCTTTTTGAAAATTGCAAGTTGCCCCTAATTTAATAGCAAATGCTTGCAAGTTGCTCCTAATTCAAACAACAAGAAAAGAATCCACCAGCATAAACATGCAAAACTGTTTACATAACAGCTGTGCTATTGGCCTGTTATTAATATTCACAAAACATAGAGTACTGCCCGAATAAACATTATGTACAATAATTTGGTGCTTGAACTTTTTAAGACTGTAGCTTAGCCTAACTGAAAATACATTATTCATAACTCCACATAGGGACCTCAATCACAAAAAAAAATTGTTTACTCCAGCAAGTAACTTAGAAGAACTTGAACCAAAAAAAGATGAGAACATGATTATCTAAGAGCTTCCTGAAAAGGACTTTACATAGATCCATTGTAATATGTTTGAACGGAATGGTAACACCAGTACACACCAAAGACCTTTTAAATCAGATAAGTAGTAACGATAAGAAAAAACAGAAAATCAAAATCAAACAAAAAGCTTAAATGATGAAAAAATATAGCGATTCAATCAAAGCCACAGCGAGATACTATAAAAGTGGTTAAGAAGGACATATAGTCAGTGATGTTATAGCAAACAGAGAGATATAAGCCCTATATGACTAGAAATCAAGAACATACTACACAACTTTGGAGATGAAACTACCTTTACTTCATCATCTACCAGAGATCATAACAGATTACGCCCACATTACCTACAATAAAAGATACATTTTATTTGGAAGCATGAACAGTATCACTATACAACTGATTAAGTTCTTATGATTTCTAAAAGTTTAATTAAACCAAAGCAAGTCATGAATAGACCTTATTACTGAAAGCTACATATACATTGATACAAACATAACTAACCATATGGACTAAGACTATGTAATACACCAGCCTCCAAAGTGTTAGCACATATTAGAACTGCAAAAGGTCAGTAAAACAGAGATGCAACAATTGATATGAAAACAGGCATAGTATTTGATATTATGAGACCAAACATAGAGAAACTCAGCGAGAGAGTATCAATAACACTAAAGCACGAATTGTGTGTGTACACCCGAAAAACTTACTTTGTATCATCAGATGATTTCAAACAAAATCACTACTGATTCAGATAATCAGCCTGGAAGTTAGCATTCTTTCATAAAGTAGCCTAATCAATGACAGATTGCACACATACCATTAACGACAGCTCTAACTAGAGAGCTATCATTAACATACCATCATGTTCACATATCTCTAAGACAACAAAGAATTAACATGATTGTAACATACAAAGACAGGGCTCATGAAACATAGGTGTCTCGTTGATTACCTTATGGGAGTGGGGCGCATCAGAGTTCCTTCCTTCTTAATCTTCCCGACGCGAACCGAAACCAGAGGTATGCAAAAACATCTAGCCAGCATACCAATTTCCGCCGGCTCGAAGTGCTGGTTCAATAAACAAGATATCAGATTATCTCATCCAAATATAATCTGGAGATTAATTAATCAACTCATTCAAACCTGACTAAGATGCGCAAGCAATCGATCTTCAGCCATTCCATTAGAAACGTTAAGCTTCAACAACGGCTTCAATCTCTCGTCACCTCGACAAGCTCCCATAACTTGCATATCCAAAGCTTGCAACCACCTCAAAACCCTATCCTCTCCAACCAAATAGTCTCCTCCGGTTGCATCAGTCAACGGATCTGAAACTCTACTCTCAATCCTCGTCGATTCATTCTCTCCTTCGGATCCATTAAATCGAGAATCATCAATCGTCGACACATCCTCGCCGTCGTCATTTGGCTGATCATCACGGTGATCGTCTCCGGAATCTCGTTTCCTAGAATCGGCCATATCAAATATCGGATCGGTAACTTGTCAGAGAAACCAAAACTCGATCCAGAAATTGCTTACAAAAAAAAAAAAAAAAAACGTCCAGTTCCAAAATCAAAAACCTAGAGATTGATAAATGCTTTCAAAGAATCAAATCCAATTTGAGAGAGGTAGGGTTTGTTATAATTTTTTTTTTTAGAGAGAGAGAGAGACGGTGATTTTTTTTTTATGTTGATTCTAGAGAGAGAGAATAAATATCTTTTAATTTAGCGAAAGAATTGAAACAAGTGCCTTTTTTTGGAGAGGAGATTCCACTTCGCGGAAAGATAAGAAAACCAAAACAGCACAGCGTCTATGCTTATATATGTTAGATGTTCTGGCGGATTCGATACGATTTTATTCATTTAGTTTTATTCGAAACATTTGAGATCCGGGGATCGTTTGATTGAGGAGGGTGATGAGTGGGTCCTACAAAATTAGGGATGGGTCCCTTGCAAAACCTGACTTCGAGCTGGTGCCACGTCATCTTTAATAGGCCCTAGCTAAGGATGGGCCTGTGTTTTTTAATTACAAAACCTATATTTTTCTTTCTTTCTTACAAAATTTTAGTTGAAATTGATCTTCGACGATGGACAGGTTGTATTTTGTGGCCAATGGATAGATAAAAAATGTATGGATTATCGGAGAGGTTTTTGTTTTTTTATGAAAATTGGTTTAATAGCTTCCATATTTTTAGAGATTTATTTTATTGTACAATTTTAATTATGATTAGATTTTATAACTTTGAAAAGCAGGAAAACAATTTATGTTATCTTTTTCAAATTTTTTAAAAACATTCTACATTATTTTATTTGGCAGATATTTGAGTTTTGTATGTTTAGAATTGTATTATCCAAATTTGGATTGTCATATCTTACATCGAGAAAGTTATTCGATATATTTGCAAAATCATAGAGACCCATCTCTTGTTCAGCTATGGGATTTATATTAGAAAATGGAACTTTTTCTAATCAAAAAGTACTAGAAAAGGTGACTCCAACCAATTACAATCAACAAATGAACTTTCCCAAGCCATACGAGAAAGAAAAGCTGCCTAAAAAGAGCCTAGAGTCATCCAAGCCACTCATATCTCATGTTGGTGTTTTATCATCAATCATACAAATATTACAAATCAAATCATCCACAATTCGTGTAGCATTTGACTTGCATTTTATGTATGATCTAGGACAAATAACTAACCGACAAAAGCATATACTAGAGCTTGAGCCATTGGCTTACTTACTGAGATAAAGCTTTTTATTATTGTCCAAATGGTGATCATAAAATCTCAGATTAATTCGAAAATCTGGCTATGAGGAAAAACCCCAATATTAGTTTCATCTCTAAACAAAGTCACCATCGATTTAGTTTTCTAAAACGCAACATTTGGAGTTTTTTTAAGAACATATATTTCTCGGAAAGATGATCATTTTTTCTTCTTTGGTTCTTCTTCTGCATAGTTCTTGATTAGTGCTTCCACGTCTTTCCAGAATAAACCCTCAACAAGAACTCCATCTTTCGTGAACCTGAAACACACAAAAAACCATGTAATGAGATGAGGCTCATGTCTATGATACACAGGGTGAGCAACTGTAAGAAAATTGCCGAGAGAGAGACCATTGGGTGACGCTTTTGGTCAACTCAACTGACTTCCCAGCTGAGATTGATTTTGGATCAGCACTGTCGATGGTGAGAGTGTATTGATCAGAGAATCTGGGCAACTTTGAAGATACCACCAACCCAGTGCTGGTGAATGATCCCTGCGTATAAACCACTGGATTTTAAGTTTTTTCAAAAGAGGAGAAGTAAATGATGAGCTAAACAACAAAATGTTTGAACCGTAGCAAAACACATGAACGTGTGCATATATATATATATATATATATATATACATATTAATCAGAGAGCTTTAGGATCCTTATCTGTTTTGACATAACAAATGAGGCAACCCCACTAACCAAGTTATTGTATCAATTTAACATGGTTTCACTAAGACAACATGTTGAAGCTCTTTTTGTTGCATATTCCAGACCTAACCAAATGAGTACAGAATGACATGGTTGGAAAAATAGCTCATCCTCTAGGATGCTAATTAAATGTGAGGAGTAATTTCTTCAAGCTGGTGAGAATGAGAAATAAACCACCTAATTTACTTTCCAGAATCATCCACTTAGTTGAACAATTATGTTTCGAGAAACTAGACAGAAACGATTGCAAACATCAAAAACTTTTGTTCAACTATTTTTCAAAATCTAAGTTTCAAGACTTAAACTAATTGAACAATACACTGAAAGGGAAATGTGGTTCTGCCAAGAGCTTAAATGCAAAAAAAACAAGATGCCTTAAGATATGCAAACTTTACATACCATGTCAGGCTAGCAGAAACACAATTCTAATTCACAAAACAGAAGGAATGCAAAAGTTTGATACCAGAATTCAAATTATAGCTCCATTTAAAAGTAAGTGAACAATGAATTATGTACATTATGAACCTACATCACAGAACTACAATTTTTGCATCATAGACAAAACAAGAATGTATCCCAACCCAACACACGAAACTTATAAATGAAACATCTTTTCTAAACAGTCAGAGAACAAACCTCAGGAGGATAGGTGAACAAAATCGCATTCTTCTCCTTAGTGTACAGAATCAGCTGCAACACCGCATTCAACACTACATACGTACCATAGTCAAGGACCAAACATCTTATTCAAAATTATCCAAATACAAGACATGTATCGAGCAGCTTCTATAGTCATACTTTAGATACCAATGATGTTTTCCAAAATCTAATGCTAAGCACAAAGAATTCGAGCCACATTACAAGTTATCTAAAACCAAATTAGAATCAAGCAAATTCGAGAAAAAAGGATATAATGCGATGCATCCAATTAAAAAATCCCTGTTCTCAGGGAATTTCTTGTTGTAGAATTGAGCAACAAGAGCAACAACGATGATTATCGTTCCCAAAATCAATTTGAGGTTGCTCAACCTCACATCCTCCTTATAGCCACGGCTCGTAACGATCTACGAATCAAAAAGGAAGATTCATAAATTCGCAGATCAGAGAAATATGGAGAAATTAAAAGTAAAATCTTAGAAAATTCTTACATCGGAGACGGATTCGTCGAGGATGTGCTTGATCGAGTGGTGGTCCAATAGATTGGCCTTCTTAACATTCTTGTTGCTTGATTCTATCTTCTTCTCTTCCATGGTGACCAGATCGGATCCAGATAATACCAGATCTCTAATGTTCTTCGAAAATTCGAACGCAGAGTGTGAGATTTTCACGAGCGCAGAGACTAAGAGAGACTGATGTTTTTGGTTCGAGGAGAAGGAAGAAGACGATATATTGGATGGAGCTAGAAGACGTTTCAGTCAAAACTGGTTTATTACGACGTCGTTTTGGTACATTGGGCCTTACTGGGCTTCAAAAGTATCTAAACCTTTTTTGTCAAATAATTAAACCCTTAAATGACTATTTTAAACTTAAATGCTGAAGATTTCTTTCTTTTTCTTTTTTTTTTTTTGGGGCAAACTCTGAAGATTTCTTTCTATTGAAGAAAAACATAAAAGAAATCTGCCAAACTTTATTGAGATTTTCATACTAAGAATCTTGCAGAAAATACAATAATCAATTGCAATCATCAGGAAATGAACAACAATCCCAATAGTGTGATAATTAATCAAGAAAACTAATGGAAATATAAATCTATTTTTATTTATTTCAATCTTACTTCTAAAAAAATACTAGCGTTCATTCAAGAAGGCTTGGACTTGACTTAGCTAGAGGTTGCATTTGAGAGCAACAGCTTAGCTCCCTTGACAAGCTCTTCCTTGATCATGAACAGAACCGCAGCTGCTAAAACGCTCTGCACAATCTTTGTGCTCATCCCTTTGTAAAACCCGTAAAGCCCTTCATATTGAATCATTTTCAGAATCGCGTCCAATGTTCCTGTAAATTCAAAACCAACACAACAACTCTTAGCTTTAACTGAGAATTGAGTATTTTTTGCCATTTTCATGATCTTATTATTGACGAGAAGGAAAAACCTTTGTACTGGTGTCTTTTGTCCCCTGTTGTGACCTGTTTGGCTTGAAGTCGCGACTTTACAACCAAGAGAGGATAAGTTGTGACTGTAGCTCCGAGTTTAGCCACAGCTCCAAGAAGAAATGTCTATGGAAAATAGAAAGAACAATCATTGGAGCGCAAAAAAATCTTATGCAAAAGAAACAAATACAAATTGCTAGAGTCCAAACCTCCAAAGCGGTTACGCTGTTGCTACCCTTCAAGGCACGCTTTTTCTTCAGCTTGGTTAACATTGTCTCATACAACATAAATTGCATTGCCGGATTACTTACCTGTGGTTTTGAAAAAAACACATCTAGCTTAAAAAAAAATGCACCTAGACAAACAATATAAGAGAAGCTTCAAAACCATAAGCTCACATACCATGATCAATGTTGGAATTACACCTTTCCAGAAGCCAGTCACTCCAGCTTCATCGTAAACCTCTTGAATCTGAGACATTGTTCAACAAATATCACAGAAACTGTCTTAATTGAGAGGTTTATAGAGTTTCAAAGAAGTTTCAGTCTTATATTGCAATCAGCTTCTTCTGGTTTGTAAATACGAGAAGCTGCCTCATACCGTATTGAAGGTTCCATATGGACGCGGCTCAACTGTAACCAAAGCTTCTGCATCAGAAGAAGGTGACACAGAGGCAGCAGTTTGATCTTTTGTCATTTTTCTGTGGGTCTGCATTGTATACAAGTATTCAAAAAAACCAGGAGGAATATGAGTGAGGAGAAGAAAACTCATAGATTCATGCTCAAATGCAAAACTAAAACTACCACGGACCAAAGAAAAAGTATTTAAAATACAGATAGCCTAAAGAACCACTTAACGGTAATGTATATGAAGCCAATTATACCTGCATGCGCGTAACAATCACCCAAATCGGATTCGTCATAAGAACATTAACCGATCTGGACAGAGAAAGTGGTATTAAAATTCACATGAGCCATTAGAAGCAATAGAAAGAAACAAATTACATTAATGAACTATACATGCCACAAAATTTTACAATCAAAGAAGAAAGCAGCTATGACAGTAGGACCTGACAGGAAAAGTTAGACCATCCACCTAGAGAAGCTCCATTAAACAAGCAACAGTATAAGAGCATAAAATGATAGCATTAGCAATGTGACAGTGGCGAGCCTTCACTCACAGCCTACACTCCAGACAGCCAATGTGAAGTTTATGAGAAAGAACTGAAGCACCTAAGAGCTATTTTAAAATTCTTTATGCCATTCCTAACTAATGGTAATCCCTAATCCGCATTGTAACAGATCAACAACTAGCAAACAGAAAAAAATCACAAATAGAATTTCTATTGTACCCAGCAAAGGCAGCCACTAAAAGTGAAGCAAACATCCCAACTGATCCGTCACCCAACCCTTTCTTCTTCCGTGCAAGAGCTGTGGCTTCAGCTTGATTCCGAAACACCTGGTAGAAGTAGTAGTACACACCCTGTCTCATACACAAATAAAAAATACTTAGAGAATAAAGATGGTCATACCAAAAAACCATCCACTTTCAATCATATACACAAAATGGAGATAAAAATACAGATTATCAAAGATACTTATACACAATTGAGAGAATATACCTGTGATGCTGCCGTTCCAGCGAGAGACGGTGCCAATCCACCGTATAATCTCTCCCATCCCTCTTGTTTGACAACCTTCAATACAAATCAAAGCAATTCAAGAACATGCCACAAAAATGTAACACAAAAAAAGATTCCACTATACGTTTGCTCTAAAGTAGCAAAACTCATAATTCAATCTATGATCCTGAGATTGAGAGTGTAAAAAACAAAGAACCTGACACATGTGTTCGATAGTTCCAAGTTTCCTCTTCTCCCTTTTCAGATCCCGCTCCGTCTGTTGGCGCGTATTTACCTAATTCAACGAATACAAAACAGACACAATCGCTTCAAAACAAGACGATTGAAGATTATCCAGATGAATTAGGTGGGGGAAAGAATCGTACAGTTTGAAGAGGATAAGTGAGAAGCTGAGCAATGATCCCACCGCCAGCTCCAGCCAATCCATTGATCAAAGCGTCCGACATGATTTCTACCTTCCCAAAACAAAAATTATGTGTATAAATTCGCTAATTCTAATGCCCAAGGAGGAAGAGATCCAGAATTACCTCCGGTTCGGATAAGGATTGAAAAATCGTCGTGAAAGCTTCCGACGAACGGAGAGAATCGCAGAAGCTTAAGAGGATGTTGTTAATGGCGTCTGTAGGAGAGGAGCTTCTTCTCCATTCCCCAAATAATGATCTTTTTGCTTTCGGGCTTCAGATGTTCATTCGAAGAAAGAAAGGAAAGACACGCAAGTTGACGTTGAGGAGTGTATGAGCATTGACTGATATACCCTTATTACTTGTGTGATATTACGGAAAGCCTAACCTTCGACGTAATTTGGCTGGATAAGCCTCTTTTTCTTGAACTGCGTGTTTGGTCTATTTGATTTAGCTTAGCATATAAAGATGATATCATTCCATAAATATTTTGTTTCCGTGGTTGGTTAACTTTTTTAAAATATATTCATTTGCTTCGAATTATCTTCTTAAAATAATTTTGTAGTAGAGTGTTGGGATTTGAAAGCTCTCAATCTCTCACCATCGCATGGGCTTACTAACTTTAATTGAGCTTCTTTCTTACTTTTCAAGTTAGGCCTAAAGCTCTCTGTACAGGCCCAAAGCCCATCTCTAACTCTTAGGCCAGAATCCAACAGAGATAAACATTTCTTGACAGTTGAGATACCAATTGATAAAAGTAAAAACAGCTTCAGAAGTAACTACATTTGAATGGATGGAATAGTATCAAAATACATACCAAATTTAATCTCACAATTGAAATGAGTATATATGTATATTTAATATAGATGTTGGGCGTGTAGCATTCTATAGTTTTTAATCTAATAGCATGCTTACACATCATTTCATTTTAAAAAAGTTTATAAGTGCATGCTTTCATATCATTAATTTGAAACAGATATGAAATTAACAATAATAAATATAATCATGATTTTCAATAAATTAAATATCTTACTATAAATAGATGTTATGAAAAGTGTTGGTTAATTAATACTCAAAATAGCAAACTAATCACATCATCAATAATAATAAAAGGTTTCAATTTTTTATATTTGAAATTCTAAACACCCTTATATATGTCTTGTGTAGAGAAAAATCAAGACAACAAGATGGACTTATTTGTAATGGTAGTTGGAGCATCAGGAATTGGCGACGGTGGTGATAAGAAATACAACTACAAAGTGGTAGCTTGGACAAACGAAGATGATCGACGGCAAACAAAGATTGTAACAACAAACGCAGATCCTGAGTTCCGTGAGGTTTTGCATCTTCCTCAAAACAAGGCTGCATCGTTTCTCAATTTGGAGTTGTTCAGTGTAAATTCAGCTGACACTGACGCATTTTTTTGTGGGAGGGCAAATACAGCATTGCCCATGAAGACAAATGCTAATGTGTACCGTAAGGTCAAACTTGAGAACTTGGACACCAGTGGAAATATCGTAACTGTTGGTTATCTTGAAGTTTATCTTGGCCTCGAGACTGGTTAAGCAACTTAAGACAATTTGATGACCAAACTAATGTTGCTTTTGGATTCTATTCGTAATTTTAATGTTATGTTTGATGAAACAAGACTTGTTGAAATGCAGCATTTTGTGTTTCTATGTTATTTTTGACAAAGCAAATTGAAAACTTTTTAACGCAAGAGTCTCATAGTAGCAAAATGTATAACATTTTTTTTAGGGGTCAACTTACAAAGTCACATTACAATAATATTACATCGTTAAGTTCTTAAGAAAAAGAAAAAACAGAGACAAACCGTTAACGTTATTAATCCATAAACTCCGTTACTTTTTAGTCACGTATCGCATAAACTCACTGTCAGATTCAATCCCAGCCATAGTCTCCGGCGATAAAACCACTTCCAAATCTACGGTTCCGTTTCCTTCCCTACCCGGAAACGCCGAAATCTTCCCGTCAAACTTATTCGACCGTCCGCTTCTAACCGCCACCGGTCTTCCCCACCCAAAATCATTATCATACATCGGAAACCTCGGCGAGCTTCCCATAGTAACCGAAGCTCCGTCAGAATTTCCAAGAGGAAAACACCGAGGATTCGCTTCCCAATCCGCCACAACGCTACGAATCCTCCCGTCTTGATGAGCCGCAACACTCTGGTTAAGCTGATCGGCGCACCATTTAAGATCACGAGACAAAACCTCCCCCGCAGTCGCAAACGTCGGAACGCTCTGAATCGCGTTTCCGAAATACTCCGGATTCAACTTAGGACTTAACCGGTGGCGACAATTTACAGCCATACGAAACGTAGTCGTTTTTGAACTCGGAAGCTTCCTCGCACGAGTGATCGCACGCCAAAGCAACGCACATAGAGACTGGAACGACGAGATCTCAACCACAACGGGTTTCGAAACGGCGTCGTTTCTTCCAAACAAACTCTCCAACATTTCCGTTAATATACCGTTTTCTTTTCCGTTAAGTTTATCGTTGCTTTGCTTTCCCAACAACTCAACACCGTCTACTTCGCCGTTATCAACCGTCAACCATTTCTTCTTGTTCGCCGCAGCTTTAAGCTCTTGAATCGATTCTTTGCTAAAACTGAAAATCCGTTCACGTAACGGCGCCTTTTCGTCAAACGTCACCTTAGGACCACCTTGAGGGACTTTGAGCACAGCCGGTGAGATTAGCACAGACTCCCGCGTAAAATCAGGCTGACGTGTCACATTCTTAACACCTCTAGAAACCTCCGCGAAGGTGTTAATGAAATTCCACAGCGAGGTTCCGTCAGTCACGGCGTGGTTAACGGAGCATCCGATGAAAACGCCGTCGATTAGTTCCGTTACTTGAACGGCGAGGATTGGTCTGTTATGTCCCTCGTAGCTCACAGCTCTGTCGTAGGTGAAAAACTCTTTGACTACATTGGGAACGTCGATTCCGGCGATCACGTCGCTCACATGGACGGATTTCGCTTCGGCGAAAACGAAATCGGCGCCGGCGTCATTGCAAGTGAGGAAAACGTGGCCGGAGGAGGAGGTTGAGAGACGGCCGGCGAGAGGAGGGAAGTGAGAGAGAGTGATGGAGAGTGAGTGTTTGAGATGAGAGAGAAGCGCGTGGAGAGGAAGGTGTGGACGCGTGAAGAGACAACCTTTCTGGATGTAGTGGCAAGAGAGCATGGGAAGATCGGAGACGGAGAGCTTGAGGTCAACGAGGGTTGACTTTTGGTCTGGGAAGACTCTGCTTCTTGAGTTTATTGTAACAGAGTTCTCTAAAGAAGGCATTTTTGTTTCTTTTTGTTGGTTCTCTGTTTTGTTTAGCTCTCAGGGTTTTGTGTGTGATTGAGAGAGTGTGATGAGAGAAGAGGAAGAGAGGAATGAGGTATATATAGTGGAAGATGAAGAGAGGGAGGAAGAGGTTCATGAATCAGATGATGATGTGGCATTACTTGTCTTATTCCTATTAAAATAGAGGCTTTGATCATCAACTTGTCTCCTGTACTTTGGAAAAGTGTTTCCTTATTTGTGAAATTGTCTTTGTAATTTGATCTTTTGTTTTGTTTGTGTCAAAGGGTATTGTTACACATGAAAGTGAACTAAAAAATGAATACACACTTTATAAACATTTAAGAGAAAAAAAAAAATGGTGAAGATAAGATGCTGGACCATCATTCAATAAATTGGTTATAGGTTTCACTCAATTTTCTTCAATTTGTAATGATCAAGTTTTTAGGCAATAATTTTAAATCTAATTGAGTGACAACTCAATCAGATCAAATCTATTAATATTTATTTCATTTCACAAAAAAATACTGTTATCATGACACTTTAAAAATTTTATTAAGAATTTCTTATATATCAATATGTTATAAAATCCACTAAACTCTAATGATATGATCAATTTAAATTTATTTCTATGACTCAAAATATATTAGGTGTTATTTTTCTTATGATATTACTTTTTTAAACAGAAAAATAACTTTACCAATATTTTATGAAACAGAAACTGAAATTTCTATAGAAAATATTGAAAGCAATCAAACAATCAAAATTATAAATTTGTGGAAACTCGAAACAAAATGTATATCTAAACTATATTCTCTCTGTTTCACGAAAAGTGTCGTTTTGAAGTTTTATTTTTGTTTCATAAAGAGTGTCGTTTTGTGATTTCAATGTAATTTTAAAATCAAATTTTAGTTTTATCTCTGTTTTTAATTTATTAATTAGAGAGAGAAACGATTTTAGTGTGTATTAATAAAGGATAAAAAAAAATTAAATGTTTTTTTTTAATTTGTGTGCAAAATGGTGGAATTACACTCTTAGGCCATATTTAAAGGGAGAACACTTAGGTTTCTTAGTCTTTTACAAATAGAAAATATTGTGAATAGTGTTAGATCTGTTGTAGATCTGTTCTTGTTGTAGAACTGTTCTTGGCCCAGTTTTAGCGTGACGTGGCGCTTCATTATTGGCTACGAATTTTTGCAAAGGAAAAAAACATTTCATTTCTCCTTCGATCCGAAATCTATGCTAGGGTTTAATTAAATAATATGTTTGTTTGTTTGTTTTTTTATTTATATCTTTAATGTTCTTTTTTCTTTCATAAAAATGTGATATTATATTTTGTGTTTCTTTTTATTTTCAAATCTATTTTAGTATAAGTTTTTTAAGTTTGCAATTTAAAAGTTATTTCTTAAAGTTTTTAAAATTGTAAACTAATGATCTTACATTATTTCAATTTCAAATCAATTCCTATGATCTAAACATGTTCTACCAATAATCACTTACTTTACAAAAGATCTTAATTAAACCTCTTACAATATTTTAATATTTTCTCTCCCTTAAGATCAAACTTCAAAGATGCACCCTTGCATATGCCCTTAGACCATCAGCAGTGGCAAATGTGTTTGTGTGGGTGTAAGTATTTTTTTAGTATTATAATTTAAAGCAAAAGAGAAAAGAGAAAGAAAAAGAAAGAGAGAGATAGAGAGAAAAAGTGTTACACCCGAGTGTAAACTTACACCCGGGTGTGAAGAGAGAGACAATTTTTTGGTTTTTTTAATACCTACACCCCAAGACTCACACCCACCTGCTTGTGCCACTGCTGATGCTCTTATATGTTATGAAACATTTAGAAGATAAAATATTGTCTGCAATGGGTTAACATTTAACACTCTCTGACTTTGCTGCCAACATTTAAACCTCCATAAATCTCAATAATCCAATGAACAAAAGGATTTGTATTAGTGACGAGAAACGTATATTGGAAAGGTAATCTAGATTCTAGACTATAGACTATAGACTAGTCACAGCGAGTTGTTATTATTATTCGGTTACTGTTGCTTGCTTCATATCAAAGAGAATATCTCTATAATGAAAGAGGTTTGCATTGAAGTCCACAAACAATTGATATCATGAAATCCCAAAGTTTATTGCAGGCTCTCTCCAGACCAGTGAATCCACGTGGCAAGGACAGGCATAGTTTCATTTCTTACATGGCATACATGCACATTGCACAGGTCAGTGTGTGAGAGGAATAGCAAACCAAAGTGTATGGGCCGGGTCGGATCAACATGTAACGGACGAGCTAGTATCATAGTATATAGACTTAAACTGCGTCATTGACGTACGATTAATGTTTTGTATTTTTTTTGTAAAAGACAATGGAAATTAACGTGTTCTACATTTATAAAAGGTTACATTCGTGGCCGGTTACTAAAAATCGGTATGTGGTGGAAATTAAAACCCTTATGCGAAAGGAAAAATTAAATAAAGCAGCAATTTAATGAAAGTTTTGTTTTTATATCGAGTGTACGTAATCGTTGCCCTTCAGAGAAAGTTGCATCTTAAAAGTTAAAAGCATGGATTTCGAATTTGATTTGGAAGAGGCTTCAGTTACATTGAAAAGATATTCGGGTTCGATCTATATGAGTGTATTTTATGCAAACGTGATAAACTATTTATGGTGTTTATGTTATTGATATAAACTAATTTGCATTTAAGGTTTTGAGTTTATGATTGTTACCAGATATTATAAGATATCATATAAGTTATAGCGACAATTGATATTCATATCACTATCTAACAAAATCTGGTTTGGTGTATTTGAGGTAAGAGTAAGATAGAAATTGCATGAATCTTTGACCGAATGGGAGCTGAGATTCTCAAATCCAAAAGATTTTATCTGTACAAGATTAAAGACACTTCTAAAACTACGTCCTTGGAATTCCGAGAGATTTGCATGGGGTATGTGAACAAAGAAGACTTGTAATGCACTTTTGGTAGCATTTGTCTTATATGATATTATACACCAACAATACAGACTAAAAGAGTAAAAGACAGATCAAGTAACAAAATAATAAACTATTACTCACCGAGAGAAAATTGAGATAATTAGCAAGTGTGTTTTAATTAATCACACTGTTAATGGGTTGTCATTCCTAAAATCCCGATAAAAGTCGGCGTGAGGAATCTCATATTCATCTGATACAGTCTAGTACCAAGTGATTTGGCCACTGTCACAACATTTCAAGTGTGTTTATTTTATTAACTAAACTAATGTATAAATTAGAAAATCCTAATCATAGCTTATGTTTGAGCTAACTTTG